CTGTAGGTATGGGTGCGGGTTGTCGGACACCGGGGGAGGCTCCCGTTCGAGCGGGGCCCCCCATCCGACAGCACGCATCCATAGCCCCCATCCGTCCCCCCCTGTGGATATAGGTGTGTGTGTGTGTGTGTGTTGTTCCTTCGTCAGCGATTGTCGTCGCGCCCCCTAGGGGTTACCTCTGAGCTGGATCAGCTCGTCAAATTGGGTCGAGTCGGAAACGAATCGGACCGCCAGGGGATCGCCCCGAATCGAGTCGACATCGGATCGCCGCGCCTGGCTCTGGCTGGCCTCGGCCGATGCTGGGAGATGGACCCGAATCGAACCGAATCGGAAGCGCGGCTCCGGCCGACGAATCGAATGGTATCGAATCGGATGGTGGGCGGCCCTGACGGGTCGACTTCAAACGCCCGCAGTCGCGACTGAAGCTCGCGCACTTCTTACTCCGCGCGTGGCTGCGGTAGTCCACCTTGGACGCGCCTCGCTCTGGGAGAGGATGAGTCACTGAGCGCATCCGTAGATCCCTGGTGCGCAATGCGGGGAAAATAGTCCTGACACTGCGCCTACATCCTCGAGCGCAGCTGGGCACGCGCCCATCATGAGCCACGAACGCATGTCGCACCGACGTGCCCAAATTTGAGACTAAACACAGATCAGCTCGAGAAACAGCGAAAATGATCAGTAGTGGGGATGCTTCGGAGGCAAAGACCAGCGGTCGCCATTCATACGTACAACAACGCCCAAGCGCGGATCCCAAGCTATGGCAAGAGAATGTATGCGTACATCGATGTTGATCTCAAACATGCCCCATCGCCCCAACACTATCGAGAGACAAATATTCGCAAACTGCACAAGATATAAGACGGAAGTCATGCAGAAGGTGAGGACCCTGTCGCTCCCCCACCACGCGTGAATCAATTCTTCGTCCTGCGCGGATGGACTGACCAATCAAGCAAGAATAAGTGTTGTAAGACCATCCGTCTGCGGCAAAATGATCGCGTGTGGCTTAAGCAAAGACAGATGCAACAGCTTGAAAAATAGAACCGTCAATGATACAGTCGAGGCGTTGACCTAAGGAACCCTGAATAAGGAACAAGGCCCATTTTTCCATAAGTTGAACTTCGATCTCCCATCGAAAAGTGAAAGAAAACCTTAGGCAAGCAGTGAAACAAGTAAGGAACACCGAGCCCCTCCATAACGAAAAGGGTTCCTTCTTCAGCGCCCCGACTGTAAGCGGGCGGTTCGCAACAGCGCGCGCAAGATCTGCCCACAATGTGGGTACAGGCCACTGCTCCTGCGCGTGCCTACGAGCCTCAGCACACACCGTACCTGCATGCATGTTGGTGTGCTTGTGCCAGGGCTGGACCTAAACGTTGTGTTTCGTGTTGTGTGTCGTGTTGCTCTACCTGTTTTCCTGCACTTCCCTGGGAAAAACAAACAACACACAGCCGAAGTCCAGCAAAACAGCGTTTAGGTCCAGCCCTGGTATGCTTGCGCCTGCGTGCACGCACCCGCAAGGCCTTCGCACGAGGCTCGGCTGCAGACTCCCGGCACGCCGGCCCAACACCTGCGGCGCGCGACTCCGCTGAGAGTCCTGGGATGGCCTGCTGAATCACAGGCCGCTTGGCACGCCCAAGAGTCGGCGGCGAGCGAGGGGGGAGAAACGAGAGGGGGTGGGCCTTCTCTTGCTGTCGCTCCGACGTCCATTCTCCGTGCATTTTGCGGTTTCGTGCGTGTTTTTTTTTTTGCTCGATGGTCCAGGATGGTCCTCGATGGTTCTCGCCGAGAAAAATTCACACGTCAAAGCGATGCCAAGTCCTCGGAGGGCTCGGAAGTCCCCCCGCCTTCTGAGCAGACTTCGAAGCCTCCCCCGAAGGCGCAGAGAAATCTTCCCGGCAGGCACGAGGGCTTCTGAGATGCCCCGCCGCCTTCTGAGAAGGCCCTCTCCCTCTCGCTCCGCCCCCTCGCTCGGCGCCGACACCCGGCATGCCCAAACGGCGGACGGAAAGAGCGAAGCCGTACCCAACAGCGGATGCTGTCCAAACTACTCGACAGGGGTCGACGCTGGGCGGGCGACCCTCGCCCCCCCGGATGCCAAGAGCCCGCGGAGTGCACGGGCAGCGAGCCAGGTTGAGAGCGGGCACGACACGACACGGCCGGACCCGGGGCAAACAGAGCACCCCCCGAGAACATGAGGCCCTCCGCCGGCCCAAACTGAAGAACGAGGGCACCCTCCCCCAGGATCCACAAGGGCACCCAACAAACACGAAGGACAGCAGGGCACCCTCCCCGAAACGGCGTCGATCTCGTACCCCGGTCCGACCGTATCGGTGTTCGTCCCCGTTCTTTCCGCCTCCATTCCTGAGCCACGGTCTGAGCTTATCTTCAGCTCCTCAAGCCCCTTCACGGACATACCACAACACCTATGAAGCACTGCTCGGCACACGGAGAGGGCAGCTGGTCATGGCAAGATCGAGCGGGCTGCTTCTGCCCCAGCAGAAGATCAAATGTGCAGCCAGACCCCTCTCACACGCGCAGTTGCACTGGGATGCGCAAGACAACCAAGGCAGCTGAATACAGTCGAATCTCACTGGAGAAGACGCGGGAGAGGACACACGACCCTTCCGAGGGCCACATTGCCCCAGAACTGCAGAAGGCATGGGACGCGAAACACAAAACACAAGGGTACCCTCGATTTGGAGTGGGCAACCCACTCGAAACAGGCATGAACGATCGATCGCAGGCAAAAGGTCCGGGAAGGCCGCCACAATAATTGTGTTGAAGCCGAAGACCTGCGGACCCAGGCGGGGGCTGCTACCCAATGAGGCAAAGCACACCAGAGGAATGCGGAGGGAATGGAGGAGGAAGCAGGAGAGATGCGAGGAGGAGGAGGAGGAGGACGGAGGAGCATCAGAGGGACAAGGCGGAGGCGGAGGCGGAGGACGAGAAGGAGGAGGACGAGGAGGCAGAGGGGAAGGGGGAGGGAAGTGAAGTAGGAGGAGTGGGGTGTCGACGCGGGAAATACGGCTGACATAACCGAGCTGTTATCTACACGAGAAGTCAAACACTGTCGCGCACTGGCTGCTTGCAAACGCTCACCGCATACCTGGAAATCATCGTTGCACCACTAGCATGCCAGCCTACGAAACGGCGTGGGTTGTTGGCAGGATACGTAGTCTTCGACAAGAGCTAAGCAGTCGACTGGGCTCCCCTGGTCTCGCCAGAAGCGTGGACAAATTGCGCCCCCACCCCTGCCATGCTCATGATCAGACCCTGCTCCACACATTCCCGATGCTGCACTTCCTCGGTTACTCCTTCTCCGGCCCGTTTCCCTCCTTCTCAAAATCTCCTCCTTCCTCTCTCCCTTTCCCTCCTCCTCCTCCTACTCCTCCTCCATCTCTCCCCCTCATCCCTTTCCTCCGCCCTCTTAATTTCGTCTCTTCTCCTGCCCCGTCATCCTGATCCACCTCATCCTACCTGCCCTTCCCAACTGCCTCTCGAATGTCCTCTCTCGTCATTCATACTCCTCCTCTCCTCCTCGCCTTCTCCTCCTCCTCCTCCTTCTCCTCCTCCTCATTCTCCTCCTCCTCCACCTCATCGCCGGCCTCATCCACATCCTTCGTGCATATCCAAACCAACTCCTCGCAAAATCCCGCCTCCAGCTCGTATGCCCCTCCATCTCCGAGAGACAACAAAACGAGCAGCCACAAACATAACACCATGCTCGCACGCCTGAGATATGGAGACGGCTCATGCTCCCAATCCTCATCCTCGTCCTCCTCCTCATCATCATCATCAGCAGCAGCATCATCATCATCAACACCACCATCAAAACCACCACTACCACAATCATCATCATCATCATCATCATCATCATCATCATCATCATCATCATCATCATCATCATCATCAGCGTCATCATCAGCATCATCATCATCATCATCATCACCATCGTCATCATCATCATCATCAGCATCATCATCAGCCTCATCATCATCAGCATCATCATCATCCTCATCAGCATCATCATCGTCACCTGCACCATCATCATCATCATCAGCAGCAGCAGCAGCAGCATTACCAGCATCAGCATCATCATCAGCCTCATCAGCATCAGCATAATCCTCATCAGCATCATCGTCATCATCACCATCAGCATCGTCATCATCATCAGCATCATGATCATATTCATCATCAGCAGCATCATCATCATATCCATAAGCAGCAGAAGTGCAATCATCAGCAGATTCAGCATCCTCAGCAGCAACATCAGTATCGTCAACAGCATCGTCATCAGCAGCATCGGCACAATAATCATCAACATCAGCATCATCATTGACATAATCCTCATCATCAACAGCAACAACATCATTGTCGTCATCGTCGTCATCATCACCCCCCCTCCTTTCTCACAATGACCTGGTCCCGTCTCCTCTCTCATCGATCCCCCTGTCGTTTAGTCCCTCCTCCTGCTTGTCGGCCTTCGGGCTTCATCTCTCCTAATCAGCCTCTTGCTAAGTAATCTTCCTTATCCTCAGCATCCTCAGCCTCCTCTCCCTGAACATCATCATGCTCCTGCACCTCCTCCTTGACTCTCCACGTGATTCCTGCCCCCCTGGTGCCACCAGCATGGCCAATCTGTTATCCTTGCTCAGAACCCTCCTCCTCCGCTTCCTCCTCACTCAAACAATATGAATACTACCATCCCTCATCATCTGAAGTTGTCGGGAAGATCTCCCGCCACATCTGCGTGCTGCTACTTACATACAATGTGTCAACACTTGTTTTTCCTTATGGCTGTTTACAATCCGATTGTTTCCAATGTTCCAAATGTTGCTCCCGCTGCAGCGTGGGCTTCATTGTCGGATCGGCGCGTCGCTCCCGTCGTTCAGAATGGCGTTGCCGCCCAAGCGCGGGACATGTTTCTGGATCCGAATCTTGCTTCATTGTGGTCCACCCCATCATTTCCCCACATCCGCCTTCCACTGGTCTTCCTCTCCATC